TATCTCTGCTTACAAATCACGTAGAGCAGAAATAAAGACACTTTTATTATATAATTCAAACTCAATCTATCGATTAAGTCTAGTATAAACTCGATTGCTTCAGGCATTATTGAGGATTCGAAATATTATAAAGACTCAAATGTCCGACTCGCGTTAAGATACACGGTGTCTCCGCTACGCCCTTACGCGAGACACTACCGTGTCTCTTGATCTTATTATTTTTCAATAAATTCTTAAATTTTCTTTTTCTATGAAACAAACATACAAACAAATTCACTTATAGACGCTAACGTTTATTTATTCACGTATATATGTATACGTGCAAATATACATTTATAATATACATGTACGTAAAAATAAGGTTAATTGTGCGAATGTATATAATATTTAATAGATATTAAAGTTTCATAACTACATATTTCTCTATCATATTTTATTTTAAATAATGTATAAAATATATCTTTTTGAGAAATATATAATTAAATTTCTCCAACTATATATGTTTTATTTCTTTTAATTACTAACATGTACTATTTTTTAAAGTTATTAACATGTAATATTTATATACAGCTAATATAATTGCATTCATTGACAAAGATTTTAAGCACCTAGCTATACATATATCCAATAACAAAGTTATATACTAATAATATCGGCAGTAGTGAAAATCATAGACTTTTTGGATAGTTCTTCGGGTGAGTAGTATTCAAACTGAATTTGTTTGCACATTTGTTTGCGACGTAATAGTATGTAAAATTTTATCGCTGCTAAATATATTTGTCTGAGTATTTAAATTATTTGTGATCAATGGGTGTATATGTAAATATTTAAATTGTAATATTTTTATCAAAATTTATTAATATCTACCATAAAATATCCAATTTTTTCTTTCAACACTGGAAAAGCACTACATATATATTCCAGAGCTTTAAACAAAGGATACCATGCTATATAATCTTCTTCTTGATACAAATACGATATGATGTTCCAGAATATATAAGAATGGAGATGGCCTGCTACCATTAAATTGAATGCATCATCGATAATTTGAGCACGATTAAGGACATGAATTTTTTTGTAATTCAAGGAATGTAGATAATTTGTAATTCTTTGCCAATTCTCTTCATCATAGTTAACGCGATAATATCCTGTCGAATAGTACATAAATTTTATCAATTCTTATTGTTCTGAATAATTTTATCATTAATATAGTTATTTTTGAACTTATTTTAATTTTTGTTTCATACTTTCTTTATATATATTATAAATTGAAAATGTATCAAAAATTTAATACCTATAAATAAAATGCAAATGCATATAGAAGATTAATTATAAAAATGTCATCCTAATACTTAAAATAGTAGCAAAAATAAAACTGTGCAAGATATTGTTGTATATCATAAAATAAAATTGATTCTAGTTGTGCATAAATAATAGTTATTTAATGCTAACGATATAATTTCTATGACATGTAACGTTGCGAAAATTGTATGTTACCTGTACTTATTATTATTAATTTATAAATATAATTATTTTTTAAATAATTTTCACTATTATTAAAATAAAATATTTCTAAATATATAACATTAATATTGATGGTGTTATTTAGAAAACGCGTATATCCTACACGTATAAACTACGTATATATTAGATATAATACATATAATAATTTGATATATGTATATAATGATATTATAGATAAAAAAATATTAGTAATATGTATAATGCAGATTACGTTTGTTGTTAGCAGATGATAAAAGATGGAAGATGGGATTGAGATGATAGAGAAAAAGAAAAAGTCATAAATTACGTATATAAGGAGGAGCTGAAGAACTGAATTTTATGGTGAAGAGACTGGTGCATGTAGTGGAGAGTTGTGGTATGGAGGATGGAAAGAAAGAAAGATGAGGAAGTACGTTAAGAAGAAAGGAAGGTGGAACGGAGGGAAGTGTGATTGGAGCAAAATAAAAAGAAAAGAGAAAAGAAAGGTGAAGAGAGTAAAGTAATATGTGGTGGAGTGAAGAGGAATGATCAAAAAAGGAGAGAAGAAAAAAGGGTTAAGAGGTGCGGAGAAGGCGAGGACAGTGTGAGGAAAATGTAGTGGAGAGAAGAAAAAGGAGTAAAGAGAAGATGAGAAAGAAAAAGGAGAAAAGAAGAAGTAGTAAAAAGGAAGAAGAAAGAAGAGAAGAAGAAGGACGTATTACGAGGTAGTACCAAAAGTGATAAAAGAGGAATTAGTAGTATAATGTAGTGAAGAAGAAAAAGAAGAGAGAAGGTATGAATATGGTCGAGAAGTGTGGATGTAAGGATGAAAATGAGGAAAGAATAGGTGGTTAAGTAGAATTATAGAGTTGATAGTGGAGACGTCGGGATGGTGAGAAAGGAGAATAAAGGAGGTTTGACAAGAGGAAAAATAGGTGTTACAAGAGGAAACGAGAGAGAATGTAGTGGTGGGAGAAGTACGGTTGTGGAGAAGAGAGTAGAAGGGAAAAAGGCTAGGAGAGGAACGGAAGAGGGGTTAGTGACAGAAGAAGAGATACGGATGGTAGAGCAGAGAGTGGAGAAGAAAAGAGAGAGAGACAAAAGAAAAGCAGACGAAAAGGAGAAGTAGAAGAAAAGAAAGAAGGAGGTGGAGTAAAAGAAGAAGAAGGAGGAAAATGTTGAAGAAGGGGGGGGGATATTATTGTAAAAATGTAGATACTGGTGGACAAAAATAAATTTTTGGAGAAAGAGTGGATACTGAAGAGATGTGAGATTGGGATAAATGTGGGCTTGATGATGGTGAAGAGGTAGGTTAAATGGTGGCTAGAGGAAAAAAATAGGAAATGAGGATAGAAAGGGGAGGATCTAGGAGATGAAGAGTTAGACATAGAAGGAAGAGAGGGTGGAGTGGAATCAGGAACGGAACGATTAGGAAGGGTGAGGCAGAAGAGAGTGGAAAGTACGTTTTGTTTTTGTTAAAAAAATGAAATGAAAAAGAAGACGGAGGTTAAAGTCAAAAAAAGGAGAAAGGAGAGAATGAGAAAATAGCAATTATGGGTGTGTAAAATAAGGACGAGAAATAAGACATAATAAGTCCCTTGGTCGATATTTACCAATGTGTTGTATATTGAATATTATCCAACCATTTTTATTAAATGGTAATGATAATTTCAAATCTTTTGGCTTGCACACCATGTGATGAGTAAAATTGTTAAAATCTAAAGACGTTTGCGTAGTAAAAGTTACAGGAAGGCAGTCAATTTTTAATTTGTCGATATTTTGAATCGATACATTTACTTCGCTCCTAATAGAATTGTGTGTTATTTTTATGATGGGACAATACGTTTCTAAATGCCAATAATTCATTATTTTTACAGCTGTATATGGTTCGTCTGCACCAGCAACAATTTTATCCCAAAAATTTCCAATACTTTGACGATATAATTGGTCAAATTCACATAGTATGTAAAATATTAAAAGAAAATTACAAATATGTTAAAATTGTCTGTTAATGTTAATTTTTAGAGGATTTTAATAAATACTAAAAAGCAAAACATAAAATTGCACTTCTATTTTTATATTTATATATTTTATATTTGTATTATGATGATAAAGAATATAACATAATTTTAAATAAAATAGTGACGGTAAATTTCGCCCATTTTTGGGACCTCGAATTTAAAACTTTTTCATGCCAAATAGTACTATTAGATAAAATATTAATCCTAGTAAAATTTCAAGAAAAACATAGGCACGGTTCTGGAGACTCAAGGGGAAAAGTGATTATTTTTAGTCAGTTTTTGAGAAATTATCACTTTCATTTCTTCATATCTAAGGAACCGTGCCTATGCTCATCTTGAAATTTCTCTGGGATTAATGTTTCATCATATAGTACTATTTGACATAAAAAAAAGTTTGAAATTTGAGTTCACGAAATTCGATACAAAATCGATGAAAAAAACAGGTCTTTTTGCTATTACTCTATAATAAATTTATTAAATTTTTAGGCATTATTAGCATTAATATAGATTATATATGAATAAATTATTGAGAGAGTTATAAAATGATTAAAAAGAGAAATAAAACAAATGAAAAGTTCGAGACAAAACGAAAAGAAAAGGAGAATAATATAAAGAAAATTGTTTTAGGAGAGACCAAGATAAAAATAAGGAAGAAATGAAAAGAGATACTCAGGTAGCAAGTTGACGTTTAAACCTGACGTAAAAATCTGATAAATAAGATTAAAAAACAAATGTAGCACAAAATGCAATTAAAAGGGAAAAAATTATTAAAATTATAGACCATATGAAGAAATAAAGGAAAAAATAAAAAGAGTAAATACAATTTAGAAATTATTTAAAACAATAACAGTACATGAAACAAAAATAAAAGATAATTATTGCAATATGGGAGCCACCTCCGATTTTGATGACCTTGATATATTTTGTCAAGGTTACTGTCCTGAGTAAGTATCAAAAGGTTTTAAGCGTCGCTCATTGTTTACAAAAAGTTATTAACAAAGTTTACGAAATAAAACTAATATTTGTGACATATGTACATTTAATTGCGTATTATATGTTTGGACGTGTAATAAAAGTAAACGCCTAGGTCAAGAAGAAGCTAGGGCCCTGCTCCTCATGCTAAACATAGGTTGTTTAAGGTTAATTTTGAATGGGTAGTGGTGCAGGAAAAGGAACGGAGCTACTGGCACTTTCTTGACCAACGCGTTTACTTTATTACGAGACCAAATATATAAAACATATACATTTAAATTTGGACGTGGAATAAAGTAAATGCGTGGGTCAAGTAGGTGCCTGGGGCTCCGTCTCTTCTCCTCCAACTCCACTTTCCTCAAAAATATCTCTAACTAACTCATTTCCGAGGAATGAATTTTAAACGTTTCTGATATTTATATAAAAATTTTTTGCCTTTAATGATCAAATTACTGTTATATTTTTAAAACTTTTTGGTAATAACTTTTTTATAAACAATGAGCGACGCATAAAACCTTATGATACTCAGGACAGTGACCTGAAAACATATGACAAGGTTATCGATATCGGAGATGGCATATCACAATAATTATCAAATAAAACAACAATGTATATATGTATATGAAAAAGTGACAACGATAAAATAACATTTTTTTTTTCTACAAAAACGGTTTTCATAAAAAAGTAATGAAATTAAAAATAAAATTTAGTAGCAGATCTAGGAAAATAACGAAATTATTGTACTAAAAGAAAACATTAGACAATAATGTAAGAATAAGCCAAAAGAAAGGGACATTTTATACAACATCTATTATTGAATGTTGTTTATGTTACACAATTTTAATTTTCTGATATTATATTTTACATTGAATTACTCACGTGTTATTTATATATGAGCGAATACCTTTCCAAAATTTTTTTGGTGAAGGCGTGTTCCATCATGCGCAGTATAAAGGGTGCTATGATTTAGATCAAAATTATAAATTATATATATTATAAATAGATATTTACTATAATGATTACTTATAAAAAGTGATTTTTAAGGAAAATTGATATATTTGTATATCGGGTAATAATTGCGTAAAAGTAAAATGTTTTTATTGCTGCATCGTTATCATTCTATTTTATATGTAAACTCATTAATACTTACGAAGATAGCAGAACTTTAAAGAACCATTTCATTAATTCCCTCTACTTACATATGTGAGGGTGTTACCAGACACTTTGTATGTTCGTATTTGCGTGTGTGTGCGCGCGCGCGTGTTGAGTGTGTGTGTGTGTGTATGTGCGCATGTTATCTTATCCATACAACTTATTGTTTTGGTAATGAATATTGCGAGAAATTGATTTATAATAAAATTAATTTAGATCCAATATGTTAAAAAAAAACATGAATGATCTTCAAATTACCTTGACAATCAACTTTTACGAAAAAGTCAGTAGCGTTCATTTGTTTGTCTTTACGAATTATACAACTTTTATTTAAAATGTTTTTCTTTAAAATAAACTGTTCAAAAAATCTTTATATGGACATTTTAAAATGAAATAGTTGATGTATATGCGAGCGCAGACACACGCACACGCTCACGCGCGCGCACACACACACACACACACACACCACACACACACACACACACACACACACACATATACGCTCACGGAAACGCACACGCCCACGCGCAAGCACACGCGCACGCACACACACGCACAAATTAATTCATTTAAAATATATATACAAAGATGCAATGAACAATTTATTTTAGAGAAAACGTTTTAGATAAAAGTTGCATGATTTCTAAATACAAACAGGTGATTTTTATAGACATTTTCTTATAGGCTGCTTTTGAAGATTATTTGAAGAATATTTAGGTTTTTTAATAGATCTGCTTTAATTTATTTCTAAATCGATTCTTCGCAATATTCATTATCAAAACATTAAGGATAAGATAATTATAAAGAGAATATTTTACTGGATATTTTAAATCTTTAACTCATTACTTTACATAAATTTAAATATCTCATAAAATATTAATTTTTCGTCAATCTAGCCTCAATAATTTTGTATATAAAATAATGAGAAAAATCAATATTTTTGCAAAAAAGCCCACATAGTTTTCAAAGAAAACTGTGTAGCGGCTAGTTGCAAATTATATATACACACATATATATTGTTTATATGCATAAATACCTTAAACATTAATGACAGAATATGCATAAATACGCACACACGTACATACGTGTGCGTGTGCATTTTCATGTGCGGGAGCGTGTGCATGTACGTTTGCGTGAGCGTGGCGGTTGCGTGTGTGTGTATTTTTATAAAAATAATATTTAATTAATATTCAGATACAATATTAATTATCTTCTAACTTTACACATATTTTAAAGTATTAATAGTTAAAAATTTAGGCGGATTATTTTATTATATTACCTCTGATTGAATTACGAATTTCCAATAATCTGTTAACTTGTGAAGTAGATGACCACATATGATAATCACCATCCAAATGAAAAGAGTAATGTTGATTTTGAACGACAAATAAATTTATTATTCGATCGTCAGGATAAATCTATACAAAGATAATTAATATATCAATGTAACCTTTTTGAAAATAATTGCATTAAAAACAAAAAACTAATATTATTAACGTTACTTCATTGTTAAAACAAAACACTTTCTCATTTTAAAATACACATTAAAATAAATATATAATAATGAAATCTAAAATTTTGTATTAATTTAATTAGCAAATATTACATATTTTTAAATTATTGTCTCATGACATATTGCAGATTTCTCTTTATCAAATTTATTCACATAAATATTACGTGTATTAGTTTCTAATTAATTTTTTTATTTTAGAATTCATAAAAATTTAAAAATATTCAAGAAAAGGTGCTAAAAGATAAACATTTTTAATAAATTAAATTATAATTATATGTATGTAATTGTTGTTATAATTATATGTATGTAAATGTGTGAAAAAAGTATTTAAAAAAAACATTTGATTATTTTATATAATACTCAATGTTTTTAAGACAATTCACAAAAAATGTGTATGGATTTTGTAAAAAAGGTTTGATTTAAGAAAATCTTGCAACATGAATGCATAAATACTGTTTGCGAGGTGTGAGCGAGATAGCGTTGAAAATATTTAGAATAACCTTATCGACAGCATACGTTGCAAGCAATGTAGTAAGACCGTTTTTAAACCAAGAAATCGACACTAACGGATTGTTCATCATATTATAAAACCATTCTTGTGCCACTTTGCGTCCTACTAATTGGGCTACTTTGATTTTGTGAGCAATAGGATATAAATATTTATTGTAGATGATATCTGTTTCCCTGAAAGTTATATTTAAATGTTAAGACTGTAAACTTTATAGAAAATAAAAGTTTATTTTTGTTACAATAATATAATTTTATTGTTAGATGCTTGATTTAGAAACTTATGGGTACAATTTAGCAAATTAATATTTTAAATCGTACCAAATTAAATTTTTTTGTTTTTTAATTTACAATATGAAACAGCGATAAATTTCTGTTAATGTGTATATCGTTGACAAAAAACAATATTTTGAAATAAATAAAAAAGTGTCATTTCTTTTAAACTTTATAACAGTTTTAACATTTACCTTACAGCGTATGATTTAGCATACATACTTTCACCTTTATGTATGTATTAAAAGGGTAAACTTTAACTTTTTAATAATATGAATAAACTTAATTCTATCAAAATTATTTGTTTTTGTAAGTTCTTATAATTTGGAACGTTTACAGAAACAAAATATATTCCTACTTTTAAATTTTATAATTATGCATACTAATATAATTTTATTTTTAATGTAATTAAGCATTTATACTCACCTATAAAGAACAAGTCCGAAAACTATTGTGCCTTTGTCATGGAAATTTGGAATTGCAACATGAGACACCATCGAAATATTGTTTGAATGTTTCCATTTATTGTTAAAGAATAACGTGATATTTATAGCTACATTATTTGAAAATTTTATGTCAAATACAGCATCAATTCTGGTCCACATTTCAATGATTTCGTTATCAATACGGAATAGGCAATTAGACACAATTATTGTTGCATGATCAATCCACATGATAGGTGTGGTATCGTTATGTATCCATAACATATTGTGCATATCTAATTTCGTATTTCGCAATGGCATATTTGACAATGCCGTGCATCTATCACATCTTATAGAAATGTTAAAGGTTGCTCTTAACCGTAAATCATGTAGATGCAAACATGACAATTTTTGAAAAAATGGTCGGGCGCCTATTATCTGGAAATGCGGAGCACCTACCCAACTACATTTAAAAAAACATAATTAATGAAACATTTTTGACTAGCATAAAAATATTGGGAATTAGAAAATGTATAAATGTTATATGCGTCATATATAATATTTTATGACTCTATTGCATTATAATAATAAATATAAAGGTTGTTCGCGTTTAGATTTAAATTTTGCGATATATAATAACTTTTGGGCATTTAATACATAAATAATACATTAATTCCAATGTCTTATGAAATTGCATATTGTACTCTTTTTCATTAATAAACATTTATTATTTACTTACGTAGTTTTATCTTTCATATTAAAAATTCTAAAACCTTTATCAGCAATACCAAAATATTTTATATTTAAGGTGTAATTTCCTGGTGATAACAAATCCATAAAGTAAATATATATTGTGTCCTTTTCTGTATTATATGTCGGTTTATAAACGATATCTTTATCATTCTCATGATATCTTTCAAAATTTGTAATTAGAACTATATTCTTAATGCTTACTTGTTCCGAATGTAAATATATGTGTTGCGTTTTGTTAAGAATGTTTATGCTAATATTGTATTCCCCATAGAAAATATTTTTTTCAATATATGGTGTAAGCTTGATATCGTAATGCATTGGTATTATATATTCTGATTCTTGATAGCATAAAGATTCATTGCGAGTGGAAGCCGTCGCAGCGATAAAAATTAATCCGCTACTTAATAATAGTTTTAGAAATTTCTTCATGTTGGAATAAGGAATATTTATTTTAGATCTGTAAAATTAATCATTAACTTTAATTTACATATCTGAAAACGTTTCAGCTTTAATAGAGTATCTTATTAAATTGTCATGAACTATTGTTTGTGCGTTCTTAATTTAATATTAATATGCGTATTGAATGTTTTATATCAAATATTTTATATAAAAAATTATACGTAAAATATTTCGTATTCTGTTTATTTCTAACTTACAAATGAATAATATAATTCTACTTATTGTTAAGTGTTATATTTATATTTATTTCTCATTTAATAAAATTAATTTGTTTACATTTATTATAATATATATCGCTCTTATAAGGGGATATATTTAATACAAGTTGAAAGCAATTGTTTTTTTATTTTTCTTAATTATATACATTATTTTTGACAACAAAATTAATATTTTAACAAATAATAAGATGCAATTTAATTCGACCAAAAACTGGCTACTCATTTATTGAAAATAAGTACACACTACGTTTCGACCTACATTGTGGTCCTTTTCAAGTGTTGTTCTTATTCAGCAATTACATTAATTAAAAATAGAAACATGAAAGTTGTTATGTCAAAGTTAATATTTGGTTCTTCTTTCTTGTTACAGTTATTTTTTACTCAATGTCAACACAATTTAAAAATTATTTTAAATATTAAAATGCGCACAGATATTTTTTTTATAAAATAATAAGTACAACAAATTTAAAAAAATAGAATTTTAATAATCTAGTAATGAAAGGACAATTAAAAGTGTCTATTATAATACTTTTTATTTAAATTTTAGAAATAATTTATTTGATATAAAACTTTTGTGGTTTGCGATTATTTCAACAATACAATTCATGAAATATTATAATATCATCATTATTTGAAATTATCTCTGGATTAAACTGTATGATTAAATTGTTTTTGTATTTGTAGATAAATATAACTTAATATTTTAAATTTATTTTAACTTACCCAATATTTCGAAACAGATTGTTAATTGGAAAATTATATTGATAAAAATTATATTTTTATATGCGTTTTGACCGTTTTATAAAATATTTTATGTGGCAAATTTTAGGCAAAATATTTAGTATTCTATTTCTAACTTATATGATTAATATAATTCTACTTATTTTTGAGTGTTGTATTTATATTTATTTTTCACTTAACAAAATTAATTTGTTCACATTTTTTATAATACATCATAGTTATCATAATGATGTATTCGATATATTCCCTTATTAAGGGATATGTCGAATAAAAATTGAAAGCAATTGTTTCCTTTTTTTATTTTTCTTAATTATATAATCTTTAACAACAAATTAATGTTAGATTTATTTTTATTGTTACAGTTATTCTATTCAATGTCAACACTATTTAAAAATTATTTTAAATATTAAAATACACACAGATATTTTTTTATGAAAGATAAGTACGACAAATTTTAGAAAATAGAATTTAATAATCTTGTAATGAAATGACAATTAAATAAGTGTCTGTTATAATATTTATTATATGTTGTGTAAATTGTAGTATTTTTAAGTTTTAGAAGTAATTTATTTGATATCAAATTTTTGTGAGTCCAAAATTATTTCAACATTACAGTTTGTAAAATATTATAATATCGACTTTATTTGAAATTATCAGTGGATTAAAATTTGAAAATATTTTATAATAAAACTATTCTCTTTATACTTCTATGTTGGAAATTCTTTAAAATTCCGTTATAATGTATAATTAAATTATTTTGATGTTTGTAGATAAATATATGTTTTGATATTTTAATCTTGACTTACCCAATATTTCGTAACAGAATGTTAATTGGAAAATTATATTAATAAAATTTATATTTTTTTCGAAATTAACTGCAGTATATTAATGCTTTAGAAATATGCGCAATGTTGGAAGAATATAATATTCACACACACTTTATTACAATCACTATGTCTACCACGATATGGTTCGAAAGACCACGAAAGGCTGACTGATTCTCTATACGTGTTATTGTGTGATAAATATGATGTGGTAGGTCAACAAAACTTTCGAGGTCGATATATATATGTGTGTGTGTTGTGTGTGAGTGTGTTTGTGACGTGTGTTTGGCGGCATGTAAGTGTAACAGTTGTTTTAATTAAGCACATTCAATTAATCAAATTAATATACATTATTTACAAATTTATATTACTTATTTTGAAAAACATTTTCACAAAAAATATGGTGTAATATCTCGTAATATGTTTATTGCTTTCGATAAATTTATCTTAATAATATATTCAAATATTTAATATTTAGGTTCGTATAAATTCATAATTAATATAAGAATACTCTAAACGAGAGTACTTTAGAACTCTCTAAACGAGTTAGATTGTTTTGGATATTAAATGGTTTTTATTGTTTCAAATAATTTTAGAAAATCATTACAAAATGTTAAATACGTAAACGTTTCGACTGTATGACAGTACTTTCTCAATATAATAAGTTTTGAATAATAAATATTAATGTTAATAAGTAGATAAGTAATTATTTGTAATCAATGGATTAAATAATGCTATGTCTCTCTCTCTCTCTCTCTCTCTCTCTCTCTCTCTCTCTCTCTCTCTCTCTAAAATATACATGTTTAATTCGCCTGTTATGAAGTAGTCTATGCTGTTAAATGTGATGCGCAAAGTGATGCTTATACAATTATTAAATAGCGACGATCATCTAGATAAAATTTTGGTCATCTTATCTTTATATAGAGAATAAAAAAATATATATATTATCTATATCTACATCTTAGATAAAAAAAAGTATTATTTTTATGAAATTATCTGGAATAATTTTCGGATAATTTTGATTTAGAATCATAGCACATAAAAATACTTAAATAGTAGATCTTAAGCAGCAAGCGATAAAAATTTATAAATAAAAATATGTAAATACATATATTTTTATATCCTTTTTCTAATTTACATTTTTTTATAACTGTGTTTATATAAGCAGTCTTAAAATGATTATCTAGATGAATTGTTATATAATTTTATCTTTTATCTAGATATATTTAAAACAAAATCATCTTTATCTTATCTAAGATGAAAATTTACATATTTTTATCTCATCTTTATCTAGCTAATTTTAAAATCATCTAAGCAAAACACTGTATACACGTGAAAACCGAGCCGAGAGGCATTGTGCCAGAGGCTGTTTTCTCCGGCGTCGATAAATCCGGTGATAACACACTGACATTTTAAACCGGCAATGTAAACTGCCTGTAAAGTGCTCGACGCCTCGTAGTAGTATCTCATTAACTTAACTTGCGCCGCGCGTTCGCGAAAAAGGGGTTGTTGCGCGCCGCGCGTAAATGAGACTCGCCGCGCTCGTTGATTTTTCGTCATTTGCCGGTACGCTGCGCGTGCACGCGCGCTCTGTTCTATATGTATATAAAACACCCTTTCTCTCGTCGCCATTCACTTTTTCCTCGTTTCGAGAATATCGCGACTGATTCACTTCACACGCGCATGCACACACATTACATTGCCGTCCCTGTATTGCTCTTTTTTTTCGACGATTTGTCGCGTCGATTATTTTATTCGAAACGCTCCAGTGCCTGGACCCATTTAAATGATTTTAATGATTTCGATGACACTTAAGAGAAATATTTTATTTTTTTTCCAATATTTTTTTTAAATAAAGCTTTTATTTCATGTGTGCACATTGGTCAGCAATTAATGACTATATATTTGACGTTATTATATCATCTTTTTATTTTATTTAACACATTAAAAAAACTTTTTTTCTGTCAATTATACACAATCTTACGTGTCTTGTGACATGATATATTTCGTTCGTTAAGGAGATGCTGACTATGACTGTTTTACCGACTTTGAGTTCAAGATCTTTTCTTTTTATTGGCTATACAGAATGAAAAATTCTTCGCCACAATTAAAGTACTGATAATAATAAACGAAAAGCGCTGTAATTTCGTATAAAAAACCAATAAAAGTTAAAAAGTTACAGTTTTTTATTGGTCTCTTGCATCAGCTCATAACAATACTTATTAAATACAAAAGTTTTGCAGTTTATTTGTGCACAAAATATGGCGCTCCCAATAGAGATGACATGAAAGAATAATATACAAGTAATAAAAATGAGATTAAAAGCCTGTGTATGAAAATTTAAGATTCGTACTTGAATTAATTATCTATACATATTTGCATGCGGAATCGATGTCGAGGCATAAAACAGCAAAAATTAATTGCCGGACAGCGCTCCCCATTCATTATTATCAGTACTTTCATTG